AGGGAGCCCCACTGTGCAGCGGGGCGCCCCGTGGCTCGCCACGTGCCAGCAGTGGGAGAAGCACAAACTTCCTCAGCGGCACAGGCTCCTCTGAATGCCTATGAGTTAAAAGGAGCTTATGTGGCAAAAGCAATGGAGATCAGGAGGTTTCTGCTGCATTTTTACTGTGCCCAGGGTGCTTCCAGCTCCGTGGGAGCTAAAACACGTTCCCAAGGCTCATTCCACCTACAGCTGACTGCGAGCAGATGCAGGCTCGAGAGGAAAAAATAATAGCTGCTACTAGATAATGGGACATGCAAAATAACTGTCAGGGAGACCCCAGCCCTTCTTCTGTATGTTGAAAGGGATATATTGATCACTTACCTTAAAGATCCTGTGCTCCTTGTAGACATGGCAGTGGTGGTCAAAAACAAATATTGAGACTTGTTAGAAATGGAAAGGAACAGAGAAATACATGGTGGTGCCAGCATGTAACATGTGCACCTGTGCTCTGTCCCCTGTACAAATCGCACTTCAGAAAAACTAACCATAGAAGACATGGGCAGCTTGCAGAGTAGCTGGATACACACATGGCACTCATTCCAGGAGAGGCACAGTTTTGTTTCTCTTGGGGAGCCCCATGGGGAGGGAGAAACCTGTGCATGGTTGGGAAAAAGCAGGATAAAGTATATGATCAAGATGTAGCTTTGAAATGAAAGTAAATGGAATTTGATGCCATGGGGTGTAAAGGGGAAATGTGCAGTTTGAAAAAGGGTAAAAACTAAAACCTCTGGAGGCTGAAGGTCTTGCTAGCTGCTCACTGCAGCAGCCTTGCAGTGATGGCCAGACACAGCCGGCACTCGGGTTGCATCTCAGCCACCAGCTGCTGGAGAGGAAAGAGTCACGTTTTATGTGCTTGGAGGGGGTTCCCAAATGTTAGTGACCTGTCCTGACCTGGTGCAGGGTTGGGAGGTCTGGCCGGCTGTACCCTGAGTCCTGGGGACTTGCCATGCCGCAGGCGATGGGGGACAATGCTGGTCCAGAAACAGCATTAGCCTCTGCTCTGTCACATGTGCCTCACTTTTCCCATCCTTTCCTTTCTGTCGCAGGGTTTGGAGAGTGTTTCCAAGAAAAACATCTGGCAGGAGAGGTCTCTATTTTAAGATAATTTGCTGCAGAATAACAGGCATTTTGGTACAAGGCTATACTTCTCCAGAACAAAAGCTGCTCTTTGAAATCCAGGGTAGGGGGGGAGTGGGTAGGAAATACCTCCATTGTTGTGGAAAAGAAAGAGCTACAAAAGGCAGCTCCCCAAATGTGCGTTTCCAACTGTGCATATCACCGCGTGGGAGTTCAGAGCTGGCAGCACCACCCTGCTGTGGCGCAGACTGAGTACGGGTGGCCCAGCTGCATGGTGCCAGCTGGGGGGAACAGCAAAGGTGCTCTGGGGTTTGAGTCTTTTGAAGAAAAAAAAAAGTCCTTTCTGCATTCTTTTAAAGATAGTCTGACAAGTTGCCGAAAAGGGAAGCATCCTGCACCTACATCTCCAGTCTCCCTGGTGAAGCTCAGGGCTGGGTTAGAGGCAGGGGTTTCCACTCCAGGGGCTGAGGAGGAAAAAGGTGCCAGAAACACAGGAACATCTGACCAGATGTGGGGCTCGGCCACCCCCCAATGCTGGCCGAGGGAAGGAGAGGGGAAAGATGGATGGTGCATGGTGGAGTGCTTAGTCATTTTCCCAGGAACCGGCCTGGATGTGCTTACTGTCTCTGAGGCTGTTTATTAATCATGTTATTTATTTTCATAGAATCATAGAATACCAGGTTGGAAGGGACCTCAAGGATCATCTGGTCCAACCTTTCTAGCACAATCTAGAGAAGATGGCCCAGCACCACATCCAGCTGAGCCTTAAACGTGTTCTGCATAGTGGAGTCAACCACTTCCCTGGGGAGATTATTCCAATGATTGACTGTTCTCATTGTGAAAAGTTTACCTCTCATGTCCAATCAGAATCTCCCTGGGAGTAACTTGTATCCATTAACCCTTGTCCTCACCATGTGACTCCTTGTAAAAAGGGAGTCTCTGTCTTCTTTGTAGCTCCCCTTTCAGTACTGGTACATGGTGATGAGATCACCTCTAAGCCTCCTTTTCTCAAGGCTGAACAAACCCAGGTCTCTCAGCCTATCCTCATACGGCAGGCTTCCCAGACCCTTGATCATCTTGGTGGCCCTTCTCTGCACCCTCTCCAGCCTGTCCAAATCTTTTTTGTATAGCGGGGACCAGAGCTGTACACAGCATTCCAGGTGTGGCCTGACAAGCACCGAGTAGAGTGGGATAATGACTTCTTTATCTC